CCCTGCTCTATTGAATTTTAATAGATTTAATTTAACGTTCTTAGTACTAGTTTTTCATACCTATAAACTCCTAATTGATGCGGTTATATTTTATGTTCACTTGGCAAATGGAAAGCATATCTTTCAAAAACCTAAGCTAAAATAGTACACTTGAAGGCAAACTACCTTGAAGAAAGAGGAGGTGGGATTAACGTATTGCAAAACTATCCCTCATATACTTACATGAAGGGACTCACTTTTGTCTCACCTGAGTAAAGCAAAGGACAATGACTGTTTTCTTAAAGGTCAACATGTATAAGGAGGGCAAATAAAGAAGAAAAGTAGGATTTTCTCTAAATATCACTGTTAAAGAAATCATTCGAGAAGTTTCACCAAAATGAACTGATGGGAAGAAAGGAAGGCAGACAAGTTAGCGAACTTATGAAGGTTACAGTAAGAACAGAAAAGAATCAATTTACCTGACAACAGGTCGGTTTTGGATGTCACCAAACTCCTGCGTTTACCATTTTACCCGCTTGCATTACTGGGGGGAAAAGTTTAGGAAGGAACATTCTCAAGGACTTTTCATAAATTCTCACTCTCGCCATCAGAAAGGGGAGAAGGGAAGGTTTTCTCTGGATTGTTTGACTTTTTTGGCTCCTGAAAAGTTTTGCAAAGAACAGTAACAAAGTGTGAACTGTTAGAACACATTTCTGTAAAAAAAAGGGAGAAGTAGTCACACAAAATACAGCAACAATAAATTCCACTCAAAATCCGCGCATCTAATTTGTGTCATCAGTTTAAACAAATAAACAAAACAAAAACTTTTCAACTCAAATTGGAAATATGAGAGGCTTGGAGACTTCCAACAGCAGGCCAAGATCCACCATCAGAATGCTCCAAAAGTCACCCTCAAAGGTTACAGAAGATTTAAAGAAACAAAACAAAGGAAAAGGCAGCAAACATCTGGTTACAAATCCTGCAGTGTTCAGTTTAAAACAATTCCTAGAACAATGAAAAAATTAAAAATGAAAAAAGACAGTAGCAACAGAAGTTACCTGTCCGAGCACCTACTATTCCACAGAGAGAACAGGAGTGGGTCGTGTGTCTCACACCAGCCATAAAGCCCATACACCTTCTCAAAAAGAGTGAGCCATGAGAAAGATACTGTACATGCGGTTTGTTTTCAAAGTCTCTCTAAGCCCTTAAGGTCCCTTATGTACTTAACTGACAGATTTTTGCAATAAGGGGGAGAAAAGATTTAGCAAACATCACTGGTTTCATTTGTTGGATTTTGAAGTCCAGTATAACATCTGAAGACGTATCTCCTTTGCGTCTGACATACACAGATGTTCGAGAGGTTATTTCCTGAGTAAGTATCACACATGAAAGATAGCACATGAAGTGGGAGAAAATGATCCAAGAGCGACCATCAGCTCAGAACAAAAACGTTAACAGTCCACATATGCATCAAGCATTGACAGTGTGTTACGGATGAGGGGTTGTAACATTCCAAGAAAAGATTTTATAGAACACATTAAAACATTAAATACAAGACTTAGGATACAATCCGTACATTGGCATAGCAAGACATCGATTATAGACATGGTAAGTTGAACAGAAGAAAATCTCCAGTGTTACAAAGAACAAAATTTCATCAGATGTAGTTTAAAAAACTTATTCTTGCAAACAAGAGTTTCTAACTGGCTCTTTCAAACATTAAAATATACAAAAATAGTTGTATCACCATCAGCTAGCTATATTAGCACTACTGTAATCCAGCACTATGTCGACCGTTTTTTCGGCACGTTCTTCCAAACCCACATACAGAGGTAGTGTTAGTGCAACTGTATGAAAGTTTAGCGTGTGCTTTTCAGCATACGGAACTGAAGGAAATACAGTGTATAAAGCTGACGCCTGTAAAGTTCACCTTCAATGGGAAACATTGCCTGGTTACCACAGGCTAGATTTGTTGGTGTTTTTTTCCTTTAAGTAAACACAAGACACCCTCCTCACACCCCCAGCCCATTCTACACATTTCACTGTTTCAGGACCAATGGATAAGTAGAGAGTAAATACATGAGACAAGTGTGCCCATTTGTACCAATGAACGTTCAAGCAAGGTTTTCATGCAGGATCAATACCCCATGTCCAAACAAATGTACATGATGTTTCAAATCCTGTCTCCCTCCCTGACCACTATGCATAGACTTATCTCCAAACTAGCAATGGAAGCACCAACCACAGAGGAGCATCTTATCCCAAGGGAGCCAAACTGTAAATCCCTCAATCCACTGTTTGTCTGTCAAAAAAATCTTATGTTTACTTCACAAATTCTACTACTGTTGGGCGCAACCTGGACATTTGAGAGGGTGATAGAAATGTAAAGTTCCTGTGAGCCACCAAATACTATGGAGACTCAAAAAACAGTCCAGAATGTTCAGTTACCAGCTCTTTCCTCTAAAAGATGTTTCCTGTTTCAGAAATACAGAGGTCTCACTATATCAGCTAGCATGTGCTTACTCCCTGCTGTTATTCCACATGTGCCCAATGGGTGCCACAGCTGAAAAGGGAAGGATTGACCCTATCAGCCCCTCAAGGGGTGCAGGCACCTACTAAAAAGAAAAAAAAAAAAAAAAAAAAAAAAAAAAAAAAAAAAAAAAAAAAAAAAAAAAAAAAAAAAAAAAAAAAAAAAAACCCCAAACAAAACCAAACAACAATAAAAAAAACAAACACCACCACCCAAATTCCCCTTAGATAAACAAGCAAGGGGAGAAGAGCCTCTGGAAGAGAGTTTACTGCTCAGTGACTAGAAAACCAGGTTTCTTTCATGTTCTGTGGTTCTGCAACTCTTCATGGAAGTTAAAGACCTTTATATTCTTCAGGTATAACCTGCGCGCTTGAAGGCTCATGAAGAAAGATTTGAAAATACCTTTACTGCTGAAGCTCCTTTTGTTGCTGGACCAGCTGGTCCACTCTCCTGCTTAACACCAACAGTCAACCTTTCACTTGATTTTAATAATAATATTTAATTCTACAAAAAAAAGCCATTTTATTACATTCCTTTTAAAATAAAAAAACCAAACTGTACAAAGAAGCATGATCAAACCTCCATAAAGCAGGTTAATACTGTTCTGTTTATTGCCTCTTGAAGACTCTCTGCATAGTGTCCGTGAGTTGTGTTTAAGGTCCAAGTGAAGATAAAACAGCAGAGCAGCAGAGAGGTGAGGAAGGGCCACAGAGGTGGGCAGTGCAGAGCCTCAGAGGGTACATGGGACATGCTCCATTAAAGTATCCAGAAAACAGCAGCATTGCACACACACAACCCCCCTCCAAACAAACCCTATTTTCACAAGATTATTTTTCAATTGTAAACGTTTTACTTTTTGTTTTTTAAAAAAGAGGCTTATCTTTATATATATATATATCTATAGTTCCAGGGCTTTATGAACCCAGAGAATGAGAAAGGAATGAAAAGGAAGGAGGAGAAGGAGGAGGAAAAGGAGGAAGAAGATATGGACTGAAAAATGGACTCAGTATCTGTTTTGGTTATCTGTTTTCCAAAACAGCTCAAGGCTAATGAGAAATGCACAGCCAGAAGGACTAAGGAAAATCAGGCAGCCTGGAAAAAAAATTAGGAGCTAAACAGCCAAAACCGCAAAAGAAACAAAGCAAAGCAAATGCGCACACACAAACACACACAAGTGTGTGCACTCACACCACACACACATAAGGGTCCAGGATCAATTTGTTAATTGTTCGTGGACCTAGGTTATATATTTTATTTTTTTTAATTCTGGCTGAGCTCTCTTTTTTTTTTTTTCCTTCTTTTTTCTCTTTTTTTTATTTTTCTTTTTTTAAATCTGCTGCATGTTTACGAAAGCGAAGAATTGAGTATTTCTCCCCAGTTATACTCTTTGGATTTCTGCCAACATCAGCTTTTATGTTCAATGGGGAAAAAGTAAGCTTGGTAAGTATTGAATGAACTGCAGCTTTATTCTAAAGTACCTCTAGATGTCTAATCACTTTTAACCAACTTTTCCCTCCTCCACACCTTACCATGTTTCCCCCTCAAAAAAGCAGGAAAAACAAAACAAAACAAAAAAAAAACTCCACCCCACCAATGTACGGGATTTAACTCAGTGTTTTCCTAACAAATAGTCTGCAGTGTTTTCACTTTGGCCACTGTTAAAGATGCAGGCATAGAGAAGGGAATGTTGGACTAGCATGTATTAAAGAAAAAGGAACATTAACATTGCAGACCTCTCTCAAAAAGACTAAAACACTAACAAATACAAGTCGATGCACGTTTGCTTTAAACTAGTGTAATTCTTTTTCACATTGGATTAAACATTATTTTGTATACCAAACATTACAGTGCTGTTTATCTCCTCCAATCATGCAAAAAATAGTTAAAACGTGCCACTTCTGCCACAAATAGAATATGACCAATTCCCCTACATACCTTCCAAAATCAGGATTTGAAACGAGAAAAACACAAGTACTGAAATCCTCTTTCAAAAGCTTTATAAAGAAATATAGACACAAAGCTGCCAATTAATACCAAGATGGCACAAATTACAGATTTGTACAGAAAGCTCACGTTAAGTCAACTGACACTTCTCTCAGCCTCATCATTTGAAAGGCCATATCCTGCAAGGTCAGAAGTGATGACTTTAAAAGGATCCTGAACTTACAGCTCCCACCTACAAGCGTAGGAACAGTAGGTGTCCAAGAACTTTGAAATACCTGGTATTTAACACCTTCAACTCACATTGAGAATTCGAGGCACTCTGCAATTTACAGGATCAAGTCTACAGAGGTAGAAGAGACTTAACTGGTGCAGTAATTCACAGAAGTTTCTAGAGAGCTGCCAGACAGCTTTCTGAAAAATCTTGAAGTGTGAATCATGCTTCAATGCTTGCCTGTGAACACACATGAACTGCAATACGTCTGGGGACCAAAGCAGCACCTAAATAAAATTCCCACCTAGGTTGTGAACTGAGCATCTTCATTAAAAAAAAGATGCTGAAGAATGAACACAATTTTATGTTCTGCAAAAAAGTAGGGGCAGCAATCACAGCACGCATGCCTTTTACTCTTGCTCTCTTGATTGATACCCCCCCCTTTCCTCTGAGCTTCTCTGATAAACAGCATTGCAAGTTGGTTTAAAAAAAATTTACAAGAGAGAGTTCTGTTGGTCATCTATTTACATGTGGCATCACTCCACAAGAAGTTTGATCTCATTGGCTAATAGCTGGTTCATGTTGAATAGAGCCCCCGGGAGCTTGGTGAGCAACTCTCTCTCCGTGGTCTCAGGGTCGCTGTCGACAGAGCTGGAGCTAGCACTCATATTGTCGACAGCGGCACTAGCTGGAGGGCCCAGCTCTGGCTCGCTAGTCTCGCTTGCCGTGGACACCACAGAGAGCAAGGACATGCGCCGCGTCAAGCGACCGGGGGTAAGGAGAGAAGCGGCATAGTCCGCTATGATACCAGCTACATCTAGATTACAAGCCTTGTCAAAGGCAATGAAACCTACATTTGCATTGGCCTCGCAGACGTAGAATGAACCGTCGTCCTTCATCAGCAGGTCAATGCCGCACACGTCCATCCCCAGGATGTTTGACACTTGGACTGCCAACTGCTTGCCTTGTTCACTCAGTGAGCACATCATCCCTACGCCACCTGGAAAAAGTGAAAAAAACTTGCTGTCTGTAGTCTGGTCACAGGTGACTGACATCCTTCTCAACTGGTTGGTGCTTTTTGGTTGGGAAGTTCCAAAGCGAGCCTGCAAGCATACTGCTGATGACTCAGAAAGCAACCTCCTTTCCACAGTGACTACTAATGAACTTGAAGCCACAGCAAGATTTCAAAAGATTCTGACCTGCCAAAGGCAGGTCAAGATTGTGACTTGTTTAAAAAACAGTTAAGTGCTGACTTTTTAGTCAAGAAAGATAGCATAAATTTTTATGATCCTGGGATATTAAAAAGATGACCTAACAAACCACCCTTGTTCCTTCTAAGGTAGAGGCTTTCCATACCCATTTGTAAGTTATCACAAGAAAAATTGCAGCAAAATTAAACCAAGTGTTCCTGATAAGACTACAGCTCTAACATATAATTGAGGGGGATGGGGGTTAAGACATTATCACCTGCTCATCTCCCTCTCAGCTTGCTATCACAGGTTACTGTCTCTAAAGCAAGAATTAGGGAATATTTGTGTCTGAACCTCAGCTGGTTCACAGTCCATCATCTAAGTATTAACCAACTCGGACTTCCTCTATGACAACACTTAAGTTTAAAAAAAACCCCGAACAATAACAAACCAAAAAACATTCAGCAGAAAAATCTTTCAGGCTATATTTCCTCAGCATCAAGTACCTTTTGGGCATTTTGACTAACCAAAAAAACTCTACTACACATGAACACATTGAACGTACTCACGTTCAGTGCAGTTTCAGCCAGGCAACCTCAACCCTCCTTCCTCCTTCTACCCTCAGAAACCCCCCTTGTCCTAACACCCAAAGCTATGCAGAAACTCAGTTCTGAGTATGCTACAATCAATGCAGTAACCTTCCTCTTCCTCCCAGACATGGTCTTTGGGGGAAAAGGCTGCAGGGAGGAGCTGGGCAGACTTAAGGCAGCACAGCAGCTGCATAATGCAATCTAACTGTTTATGGCCTTCAACAGTTGCCTCCCTTAACACTCTCTTCTACCCTCTTGCCAGCTGGCTGTCTCCTCCAGCTCCCTCAATCTCCTTTTCTGTCTTCCTTCTTTTTCTGTTCCTCTTAACAGGATGAAATGAATGATAACATGGCATTATCATGACACTGCTACTATCACATCAGTTGCTCCATTTGTGTTCCTAGAACTTTCCCCTCCTTTTCATCCATCCTATCCATCTAATACTTTGGGCAGAGATTGTCTCTCTTTTTGTGTTTGCTCAACGCGCATCTCACTTAATCCTCGCTCTCCTGTTTCCTCTGTAAAACCCCAACTAGTAAGCACAATTAATACAAAATAAAACCTACAGCTTATTTCAGTTGGGTCTGTGACTTTTCAACTGGATTGAAAAATTCTGATCAAAACTATGAACAATGGTTTTCCTACCAAGAGAGCAGTTACTCTGCATCCTCCCATCTGTTGAGCAGCGGAGCATGGTGCCCACCACACGGCCTCCTACTACGATGACACGTACATCCTTGCCATGAGACTCTTTAACGTATTTTTGAAATAAGTAAGGGGCATCATGACGGATCAAATGGCTCAGGTCTGCCAAATGGTGCTTGTCTCGTGCCAGGAACACAGCTTTACCTGTATGAAGAAAAGAACATTGGAAGATTGGAAGAAGCTATCGATTTGAGCTGCATCAATGATTCAGCGCATAAAAGTAAAACCCCTGACCAGCACGCTGCCCATTCTCACAGACCCCATCTGTAGCTTAGACCCATTTACAAATTCTTCTCTGGACATCAGTGTTCCACTGCTTCAGTGCTTCTAAGTGTTCAAGTACTGACAGAGTTGAGGAGCCATATGAGGAGTTAAAAAGAAAGAGAAAGAAAAGAAAACAGCTTTAGATAAAGGAGGAGGTCTTGTAATTTCAACTCCTTTTGGTAAAAGTCCTTAATGAGATAAAAAAGGAAGAAATACTTAAAGAGCAGCAGAGATTTAATTAATAACACAGTTTTTGTTCATCCAAGAGGACCGGACCTGCAGTCTACAGCTTTGACACACAGGAACCAATGACATGAAATGAACACCAGGCAGCTAAGAACTCTGAAGTCGCTAGCGTGCCACTGCAGAACCAACTGCTTCTCTGTTGGGAAGCTGCTGAGAGCTGCTCTTCCCAGTACTTAGAGGAGCTCACAACTCCGGAATGAGGCTTTGCAGTGGAACAACTATGTTCAGAGGAAAACACTAGACTCCACAGTATCCAAGAAAATTTAGCAGAAGATTCCACAAGACATAAAATGAATGGAATGTACTACAATTTTGAAAAAAGCCTCTTTAGCAATCACTAGCTTCTCTGCAAGCAAACATCTCAAGGACTTGTTTTATTTAACCTAAAACATGTCATTTCATTCCCCTTCATTTCTAGAGCACAAAGACTTCTTTGTTCTTTTCTAATTTTACTAATACTGATGGAAGTCACTCCTGAAACAGACTCTACCACTTTCCATCTCATTTCTAGCCTCACAAGATGGCATCCTTTTCCATCTTTAGCTACACTTCCCAACTCCTCTTCCCCTTTCTTAAGGACACTTTTGTGTGTCATATTAGATTTATGTTTTGCAATAAGGCTGCACAATTTTTTTTGTGGCAGAATTGTCACTCAATTATGCTACAATGTTAACAGAGTACAAAAATCAATTTATAAACTGCCTATCTTAACTAAGGGAATAGAAATGCAGCAGTAGCAGAACTAGGAGAAACAGCATGTGAAGAACTCCACCAAGGGCTCTAAAGTCCAACTGAAGCAGCGCCTGCTTCGTCAGGATTTAAGGTCTCCGTAACACAGAACACTGCTTGAGGAACATGGAATTTCTCATCATGAAAGCGTATCAGAATGTAGGCTTAAAAATCATGACAAGAAAGCAAAAACCTCCATGTGCTTTCTCCCATTCCCAACTTTAGCTCTCCTACAGGCACTTAATAATCCTACTGTATTCCTAAAATGGGATAGGAAGAATGATGCCTTGGAGGGGAACTACTTAGTTCTTGGGAATTATGCAGTATCATGACATCTCGGCAAAAATAAGATTGGCACATTTGCTGCAGCAGCAAACTACAGAGAAAATGGGCCTAGAAGAGTATGACTTTTATTCGTCAGGCAGTACCTATGACCATGTTTCCCTGTTTTTTTTAAATACAATTTGCAATGGCTGCTCTTCAATTAATTTGAAAGTTTCTCCAGCTCTCTTAATGTGAAAGGATATGTACTGTGGATAAATTTGCATTAAAGTGCCTGGAATTTAAAGTGCTCTAAAGCAAAACTTGTAAACAGATATTTACAGGAACATTGGCTAAAAAAGGGAGAAGAAAGTCAATAGCTGCAAACTCTATAATTATTTAGTAGATCTTAACAAGAGGCAGTGTCAAGCCATATCCACTGTCTCAGATGCTCCACAGTTGTCAAATTCAGCTTGCTGCAAAGTCAAACTCCAACTTGGCTTCATAGCTCCACAAGCACTTTAAAACCATATAAACAGATATTACTGCCAACAGAAGCAGGTCTGATCTTCCTCTGCCCCAGCCTTTTGCTCTCACTCTTCCATTACATCAGCACAAGCATTTGTGTGAGTAAATGGTAATTCACGTAAGGATTTAATCCAAGTAAAAATAACACATCTAGATTCATCCAACATCAGTTCCTGAATCCATTTACTACACTGGCTACAAAAACACTCATGCCAGCAGAAAAGATGCACCAGAGCAGCACGGAGCAGGAACAAACTGATGGACAATAGGAAGGAAGAAGTGGTGTCTTTTTATTATGCTTTTTTTTAAGGTAACGGCTGGTTTATGTGCTTAAACTTCAGTTTCAGTCCCTTTTTACTTCTATTATTTATTAAATTGGTTTTGAAGTAAATTAAAAACAGTGCAACCTCCTGTGCAAATAACCTCTGAAATTTTAAACCTGGTTTCCTTTAGTAGATCACTATCTAACATTAAACAAAATTGATGTATTGTTTCATGTTCAACACTTAAAAAGTCTGATAACAGAACAATTGAATCTGAACCTGCTGTATTATCCCCAGCACTGTCAGATATTTTTCTGAAAAACAGAGATCCAGTTTGACAAACAATATATGAGATTTTGTTTAAATCAGAATCCTAATTATAGACAAAGCCAAGTAGAAAAAAAGTCAAATTAAGACTGAATGAACTAAGATTTCATTTCTTATGCCTATTTAGAAACATCCCTAAAATCCCTGTAGGCTTCCCTCTACTTCCCTAAGGCCAGACCTTCCGTTATTCCAGTTCAAAGCTTTCCTCACAGAAGTCACCAATGCACCATAATTTTGAACCCTTATCCCCCCACTACTGCAAGACTAGGTTCTACTAAAACCGCTTCCCAGTGTTGCAGCCTACTCAACATTCAGAAATCGAAGGGTGCTAGAATTTAGATGTACCACAAAGAAGTCCAACGCCTAATAGAAGACCTTCTTAACTATCATCCCTTGACAAGACAGAATCTTAAAGAGTGCTGCTCAGAATACTCCTTGCCCTCACCCCTGACCTCACACCCACCTCGGTGACCCCGCGTGTTCTTCACCACCATAGGGAACTCCAGCACTTCCGCCTCATCAATCATTTTGGCAAAATTCTCATGACCACCTGGCAAAAAGAAAACCAACAACATTATGTGCCACCAATCTGGTGTGGCCAAATTGGGGATGTAATTGCCACACATTCCTCCCACCCTTACAGCTTAGATAATGCAGGAAAAAAACTACCAGTTAAGAGGAACCTGGTCATGGAGCATGATCAGACTTTGAAGGTGTTTGTAAACTGTGGGATACTAACTCCTACTTCCTTTGAAATGGAAGACACAAGTTGACAAAGGCCTCTTGGTCACAACACCAAAAGGCTCAATCCAATCTTCCAAATCTGAATGCCCCGATTCTACCATCTTGTTCCACTTTATCCTTTTTACTTTATCAACTTTACTTTATCACCTTTTCACATGTCTAGCAGGAAAATAGCACAGACGTAACACTAGTAACAGTTCCATCCAAACTACTAACCAGAAAAGCAACATGGAATACAAAGACAAGGCATAATCCAGAGAGCAGCAACAACCCAAATCTTGTCACTCCACCTCCCCCCTTTCCAAGGCTTAAGTCTCCTGCATCTCATTCTCCCTATTTCCTGAAGTAGTATTTCCAACCTTTTTGTCTCATTGCATCTGTAAGGACCTTAGAGCGTAGCTTTTAATGACCATTCACATGATTACAGTTGATACTTCAAGGTTATTTGAGTCCAGTTCAATTCACAGAAGGCTGACCACAATACAAGAAAATACAGAAAAGAAAGTCAGCAGACAAAGGGATGAGACTCCTCTAACAGCATGTGAAGTAAAGCGCCAAGACACTGGTCACAAAGCCAGCAGCAGCCATCACTACCCTGCCATGGATTTTAATGCGTGTCATGGAATAACATGCCATTCAGCACATCCTGTTTTTCCTGGCAAAGCCAGCTCTCACTGATAACTTTATTCTTTTTTTTTTTTTTTTTTTTTTTTTTTAAAAAAAAGCCATGCTTCTGTCAAATTCCAGAGACAGGCATTAAAAGAAGTGGCAGGGAGTTATGAACAAATAGAGATGTTCTGCAATCACCCCATCATTCATGTCCTCCCCTTCCCCCCCAAAAAATTAAAAACTCACTCCTTTCTCAAAAAGCAAGAGCAACCACATCTATAAGGAAAGGGCATGTTTCTTCTCAAATGTGTTTTCACAGTAATTGATGGAAATAGTAATTCATAGTAATTGATGGAAACTCATGCTTTTGTTTTTGTCAAGTTTGTGTTTTTGTCAAGTTCCCATTACAAAAGCCTATTGGTGCAACCACACAAACAGGAGGAAAGCACTGGTATTTCCCAAGAAGGAAAGGAAGGCTGAGAGGTATCTTCAATTCTTCAATATATTTTAATCAAAAGCAGAAATAGCATCAGGGGAGCTCAGACAAATGGTTCCTCTAATCTAGCACTCTGTCAGGAACCATAGACTCCAGAGGCAGGCACAAGAAGCATTAATAATTTAACTGTTCTGGTGGGAAACAAACCCCAAACAATTGTTCCAAGTTGAACACGAGGGCCTGTACTCTTTTTGTCCTTGCACAATAACCAATATATTTGCAGATATTTTTATTCATATAGAAGTTCAATCTACTTCCAGGTTTTACCAAAGCCTAGATCTTTATAGTATCCTATGACATTTAGTTCCCCAAGTTCTTGTCTGTTGTTTTGGGCAATTGGAAAAGAGTTCAGTGTGTTTTAGTAGTAACAGCCAAAGTTAGTTGCTTGGGAGGCTGAGGTACAGTTGAAGTACTCTTCTCAAAGCATCACAGCTAATCAACAAAGCCAAAACCAGAATCTAAGGGTTGTGACTTTAATTTCCTTTTCTGGTTACTGAACACGTTATCTCTGGAACTAGCCTCATGCTACTTAATTCTATGGATTTCCAAAACCTGACTCATCTTTTGCACTGCAAAAGCATAAATTATGGTAGGCAACTTTGCTATCCTTTTGACCCAAAAGCCTTACCATATGAAAAAGTGTCTGGAAGAGGCACGCCGTGACCAGCAAGTTCTTGAAACGTCCAGAACTTGTTGACACAGTTGAGGATGGCTTGAGGACGATTCATCAATCGACAGCCCATCTTCTCTAGGTGGCGAAGGACTGTGATATCGCTGTCACTCTGGACCCAAGGTGTTGGTACACGCACAACCACCACTTGTGGGTAAGCAGTAATGAGCTCCCCATTCACCCGGAGACCTAAAGAAGGAAGAGGAAAAACATCCCAATCAACTACAAGGTCTTCAGGAGAAGGTAAACAGGCAAAGAAATACTGCACTATATGCAATCACAACAGAGATACCAGACTTCAACAGTGAGCGTTAAAACAGTGCAACTCTCCCTAAAATGCATCTTGTCAGTTGTGCTGTTTCATACATGTCACTCTTAACCCACTTAAAACTAGGAGTAGGCAAAGAACAGACTGCATTAGGGCACACAATCTTGGGCGCCTTCCCAGGGTGAAGGATTTTTTTTATAGGTTCACATGTCATTCTTTCTATGGGTGTTAGCCGCACGCTACCTTCACATCACCACTATCAATAGCTCAGGAGGTTCCTGCCTCCCACCGCTGGTTCTTGCCTACACGATATAGTTCATACCTTTCCCAGTCCCAGCTGTATTGATCCCTCTGTTTGTGATATCATGTTACACAACATATTGCCAAAGTAACAGATTAGATATGAGCCTTAAAAAAAAAAAAGGCAGTATTTTTAACAAAGATAATTTCAACAATCTGATTTATACTAAATAAGTACTCAAAAATAACTTATTCAGCTAAAGGGGCAGCACCCCATGACATTAAGGCACAAACTAGAAGGAAACCCAGCTTTGTCATCAAGACCAATGTATTACTTAATCATGACCTATAGTTTTACAGACTATGTCTCTGAAAAAGAAACACTGAAAGACAGGCTGCAGGAATGGGAATACGATAAGATTGGGCGGGAAGGCATCAAGCTCAATGAAGACAGTCTGGTATCTGAGGATGGGAAGAGACAAATAGGATTTGATATTCACTTTATGTGCCTTATGTTCAAAGTAAAACTTTTTGATTTCAGTGTAAAATACACAGCTCACACTGCTGTGAGCACCTTAAGGGTTAAAAAGAGAAAGAAGGTGAGCCGAGAAATCACAGTGCATCTGCATTTATGTGCCTATGAAAGGCCAGCTGTAACTATTCAGATCTAGCCCAAATTAATTACCTGATTAGCTCTATTCCAAAGATGTTACTTTCCAAATACAAACTTGCATCTACTCAACCTGAAGACAGATATTGCCAGGCAATATATTTAATTTCAAGGTGCATCTGAATTAATGGGGGAGGGGGAAGAGGGGGCAGGGGTGTCCGTTCCCCCCCCCCCCCCAACTCCCTCTTTTTCTCTCCCCCGCCCCCCCCCCCCATACTTCCCATTTTCTTCTCTCCTCCCAACCAGAATGTATTTTAGAGCTTGCCTTAAATATAGTGAAGCAACCCACTAACTCCCAAAATGGAAGTAGAAATAAGCTGCCCAGTCCTCAGGAAGACACAGAACCACACTCTGGAAAGGCCAAAACAGAGCCATATCCAATACAAATCCCTTTTTCCACTGCTCCTTGCCATAACTGCACAGAGATGAGAAAACATAAGCAGACGGGTGCTCTGGCTGCTCACCTCATTAGCACCAAGCACTGCCGCATTGCAGCTGACATGACTTGTGTGTTTAAGCAAGCAGGCTTCAGACACACACCATTTTACAGAGGCATCTCAAAGCAAGATTAAAAACAAGACACTGCTAAAAACCTAAGCAGAATGTGAACATCAGGAAATGGACTACCATGTCCTTTAGCCAGAAAAGTACAGATTCAGCAAGCAAAAGATTTTTAACTTATTAGTCAGATTCCACCTTACACATGTATTTTCTCCTTTAGGTGCACACCCAATTACACCCACTTTTTGCCACTGTAATTGCATGCATGTCCTGATCCACATGCAAGCTGCGTAACAATCATTTTAAAAAGGACTACATTTCCTACAGAGTCCCAAAATTGCCGCTGTATCTTTGTTGTGAACCAGAACCACATAGTTTTCTAATTCATAATCTCTCAGAGTCTCTTTTGTTGTTTCGCTTTAAAGTCACACCACATGCTGAAGTTCTGCACCATGGAATCTGACAAACAGCAGTTTGAGGATCACCTGGAATTCTCCTGAATACCTGCATTAGACTTGACTATCAGACTGGTGTAAATTCAGCCGGGCCACCATCCCCCCTGGCGTGACTTTGGAAGTACAACAATGTTATCAACAGAACAATCTGAGCTTTTGTTCCAGATCCGGTCATTTTCTCTGGTCTGGATACTGTTCTCCCCAGAACAAAAAAAAATTTCTCTCCCCTCATAGAAGAGAGTTTACAAACAAAGAGAAGAGCTACTCAATGAAATGTATAATTTGAATCACTACTACTGACATGCGCCATAAAAATTAGCTGCAGTCTCCCAGCAACACAGTGCTGCAAACAGAAGCAGCTTTATCACAGTAAAAAGGAGAGCCAGATTCTGCCATTTTGGAACAAGCTTGTATTCAGCATTCCATCTGAGACCCAGCAGTTAACAATCGGGTTAATGGTCATTATTGCCGAGTAGGCTGATAAAATAATATTTATTCACTATGACGTGCTGAAAGCAGTAACATAGAAGATATTAATGCATACAGTTAATTTCTTTTCCAAAGAACCAATTCATGAATGTAAAGAGGGAGAAAGGAAAAAAAAGATGTTACAGAGATGTTACTTAAAAAGTGGGTAAGAGGTAATCAAATTTTTATTTTTTTTTAAATGGAGATGAACTCTTTCCTTTGCAGTAATAGTACCATCCTGGTCCCAGAACAGTAGTGAGTTACATTCACTGTTGTCTGTGGACAATGAACTGACCTCACAAACACGCAGAAAGCAGATGTTCAGATCATACAGAAGTACCTTGACAAATAACAAGTTGGTCCATTTGTTGACTTTCTCAGTGGATGCCCATGACCTTGCAGATACGGCAAACAGCTGTACAGTCCTTTGAAGTACCAATACCGAGAGCCAGGAAAGGGAGATTTTGTGCTTATCTAATACTATGAACTTCACCAACATACAACAACCATTTTACCAGTGCCTGGAGAACAATTTCTTGAGTTATCATAAAACATTTGAGTATTCTTTGGGCCTATGAAATAAAGACTCCTGAGTTGGAATATCACTATAAAAACAGATGTAAATCCTGCACTTGAACAAGACCTGTTCGTTCACTCAGTACCAGCTTTCTTTGTTCTTCCTCTGCAGGATGAAGTCTCCAAAATGGAATATGGTAGACCTTTAACATTATACACCAAACATCACAGTATTCAGATGAAAGTGCAAAAGGAATTTTTGCAATGCGAACTGTAATCACCTGGGACTGAACTTGACCAGTTACACCACATCCCTCAAAGCCGAAAAGCCTCAAGTTTCTCTCAAAAGACAGCTCAAAGTAGCACATGATAAAAGCGAGTGGGTAAATGCATGATTCTTCATCAGTTGGCCCAACTGGTCCTGCTGCTTTTCATTCCTGAAGAACAGCAGGTGCACTTGAAGTGCAAAGTAGCTGGTCTCTGCTAAAAAGGCTAATTTTGACCCAAACAGATTAGAAGCCATCACATGAACCCGTGAAGTCCACAGAAAATGAGCACAGCATTAATCTCTAGTGAAGACAGAAGAAAGAGGCAGAAACTTCTACTGCTGTTACCAGTGAGATCAGAAGACATGTATCTATACCTTAAGAAAGTTCTCCAGACAGTTACAGCTAACATGGTAGAGCCTATTGGCACAGCAAGATACTCAGGATGACAGTTGCTTCTCAACAACCTGATTTAGTACAAGTTTAGGGTGGATGCACATACTTTGGAAAAAAAATCACAAAATTCTGGAACTTGCCAGACCTCATTCATGCATGAGGGTTGGTTTTTTTTTTTTAAGCATGTTCTGTCTTCTTCCCTATGACAAATTTATCTCACAATCACAATTTCTCAATTAAAAAGCCTCACTCTTTAAGAGTTATCATTTAGGTGGCACACATTCCAAATGAAATGCCTCCAGATACAGACATACAAACAAAACTGAGTTATCCCGACTTAACAAGTTGCTGCCCATCAGCTAAGACTCCTAAGCTGACTATGTGCTTGTTCCCACCCTACAGCAAAACACAAGGCAAAATGCTTGACCTTAAGCCCCACTGAAGGGGTTCAACAATAACGAATCTCACTACACAACTGGGACAAGCTAAGTGCCCAAATACAGGCATTGTAACAATACCTCATATAAAGCTCGCAAGCCAAGCACACTGCTGCAAGTCAATCACAACCACAGCCAGAGTATGTAAATTCTTAAACTGCAGCCTCACACCTTTACAATCCATAACCATTGGTGCTTCATCTACCCAGTTATCCTACTTTCTTGTGGTTTAGAAACTCAAAGAAGCGCTTCTGCGCTGACGGCATTATGGATGGCTAAAAAGGATTAAGATTTCAAGAAACTGCGTGCGGCTTCCGAACATCTTAATTCACACCGAAGCAGCATTTTGAATTGCTAGACATTTTTAAAACTCATTCTATTCAGTTTGCACTCTACACAAATCCCTTCCAATCTTTACAAGAATCAGTTCATCAGCAGATTAATAGCTACTGCAAACTGGGCACGAGATATTGCTTTGCACGCTATGAACAACTGTACTTTCAGCTGAAACAATGCAAATGTTTTCACAGAAGGAACATCGTTTCAGGAGATAGGTCTTAAAATCTCAAAGATTTGCAAGGACATAAAAAATAATTACAGAGCTTTTATAGCTCTCATTATAGCAAACATCACGCACTTTTAACAAAAAATAAATCTCAGTACTATCAAATAAATTTATAAAAGTATTTTCATTCCAAATTATAATATTGGAAAACAGTCAAAAAAAGAAAACTGAGTCACCAAGACCATGAAGTACTTAGGACTCAAATTCAGGTCTTCAAGTACAGTATGTGACTGTAAGAACCATAGCCAACTTCTTCAACAAAATGGTATGATACAAAGCTAAATGCTTAAAGTATTTAATACACAAGCAGAAGGAGATCTGGGTAGGCTTACATGCAAATCAAATTACTGGTATCAAGCTTCTATTTTTATACAATTTGAATCATCAGTATTAATTGATAGACTATG